TCCAAACAGCCTTGTTTGTCTTGCAGTTTTATGGGGATGTAACTGACTGGCATAAACATCACAGATTTGAAGTATATGATTCTGTGGCTTTTTTGTATCTCCACATAGTTGTACAACCGTCATTACAGTCAGTTTTAGACTATTCGGGTGTCAACCCTAGAAGGTATCCCCGTCCTCCGTATCCTTCATCCCTCCATTCTTCTCACCCCTCCAGTCCTAGGCATCTGTTAAAGGTACTTCCTTTTTCTGTGGATTTGCCTGTAAAACAACCTGTTTTCATAAATTGAGACAGGCATTCACTGGGAAGTTTCTAGGCATCTCCCCCAATCCATGGAGTGTGACTTGGTGCGTCTGTATAAGCTGCTGAGAGGAACGGGACCTCGGGCCTGCCTGCCTGTCAGCATTTCAGTCCCTCTGACAGCATCTGAGAGCTTCCTCTGGTACTAATGGGGTTAATACAGTGATTAAGGAATCATAGGTACAGTGATACTATTGGCCTGTTGTAGGTGTGTGTGTGATGTAGGCTCGGTGGGAAGGGGCTTGCATGTTGCTTTGAACCCCAGAGGGTCAGAATTTGGGAAGGTGGGCTGACGTGGCATGCCGGACATGTGTGTGCGCAAATGGTGTGCACACACCTGCTGCTACCAGCAGTTGTTGGGTGGAAATCAACAGTTGTAGCCTGGACACAGATGGACGCGAACATGACACAGTTAAACGTGAGACATAAAACCTTCTGCATAGTCACTGAATTCATGGATTGGTATGGTGCTTAAAATGCCTGACAGAGGCCCGGACTTAGCAAAATCATTTATATCTGTGTAGACCCTTCAATGTGTCGATAATCAGTTGGCCTGTAATATTGGTCAGGATTTGATACCTACCGGTAGGTATTGAAAAGGGAAACTGGTTCCAGGCTGATCCCAAACCTGATTGCCCTGTTTTAGTTTAGAGTTTGCTGTAGTTCGCAGTGGAATCCATGGCCAACCGTTTCTCTTCTGTCTTAGCATTAGTATTGTTGTTATTTATTGGGCACAAGTCCCTTTGAAGATGTTGCTCTGAGTAGTTAATACAGTGTCTGCCCCATCCTGCCTTCCATCCACTGAACATGTGGGGAGAGCTATACATGGTGCATTTCCCTCCTTATTTTCTGTGAATTCAAAGTGATTCTAATATTCAGATGAAGTCAGAGCTACAGACTGATTTACATGTGAGAAAGCAGAGTTTGGGTCAGATTTCTTAAAATGGCAGGCATGTAGGAGATTTTAATAGTAAAATTTAGAAAAATGCAGTGATTCTGATTTTGGAGGGGCACAGCGGGTGCTGGAGGCGAGCTGACTATACCTGTGTGCTCGGAAGCACTTGTGAGTAAGGTGATTAAAGGGAAAAAAAACCATTTCAGTGTTTTCTTCAATGCAGGTTTGAACTTTGTCATTAGTTTGCTCATTACTTGAAAACATTTATAATGTCAATGACAGGGTCTTCCCTGTTGCAGTGATAAATAAACTCTAAGGCAAGTGTCCGTGGTGTCATGTTTGGGACGCCGCCACCCCACGTGGGCCCAGGTGCGCTGCCTCCCGCCACCCCCGTGTCTCTTGCTCTGGTGGAGAATCGCCGTCTATGTTCCAAGTATAAAATT